TTATCCAAACATACAATCTCCACTGGTCCGTCCTAAACAATCCATGTGGTTTCAGACATTTGAAGAGTGCTCTGCTGTGGGATAAAGTCATGGGGTGGGTTCAAAAGGCAGCAGTTTCTTTAGCTGAGGAATATCTTTCTTGTGTCTGTCTGTTTAAGGCTTAGATTAATGATGGTTAGTTCTGATCCTCATTTGATTTTCACAGCCTCTGCTTTTCTGGACTAGAATAGAAGCATAGCAAGTCAGAAAGGGCTTTCTAGGCCATCTAGTCTGATCCCTCGGCTCCAGGCAGCTCCACCCATGTAATAGCCAGCATGTGGTTGTCCAATTTTAACTCGAACATCCTCACTGATGGGGCCCCTACCACCTTCTGTGGAAGTCCATTCCATATCCATAATGTGCTATCAGTTGTTACTTCCATTTTATCTATTTCATGCATCAATGATATCCTAATTATTTTTGACTTAGATAGTTTTCAACATGGTAAAATATCCCAACTGAGGAATCTGGTTGCTTAATTCCCACAACATTTTGGAAGCAGATGATGTAGTGTTCAGAATTCTTACAGAGACCTCCTTTTGGACCTTTTACAAAGCCCAGTGTCTAAAATAGCCAAACTTAGAAAACTAGACCAATAAATCCTTCTCAAACACATCTGTTTTAAAGACTTGGAGAAATCCTCACAAACTCAGCTGTGTCTTTTTCGAAACATAAGCAAATATTTGTAGACTTGTAGTAGATTATGCCTCACTTATCTTAATCCTGAAAGAAAACAGAAGTAATAATATCCCCATGTTCTAGAACAAGAAGAATGGAGGGACTGTACTTTTTGTTTTCATAGACTTAGAAACACTTTGCTCCTCCTCTACTGTATCTGTTGCACACCCTTACTTGAACTCATGTTGAGCCTTGGAGGTATTTGCAAAAAGTTGAAAGTCATCTGAGAAGTAGAAAAAATGCATAGAGAAACCACACATTTTGTAGTAAACAAAAGAAAGTGTATTGTTTGGACAGAGTCTGCCTTGCACAGGTCCTGTATGCTCCCTCATGAAGGCAGTAGCATTTCCTCAGTGAAGAAATGTATCTTGAATTTCAGAGCTGTCTGTACCTTCCACTGTCTACACCTTCATCATTTTCCATTGTAATAGATTGCCTTGCATTAAAATCTTCATATCACACATTTTAATTGAGTAAAACTTTGTTTTAAAAAGTATCTCACTCCAAAAGAGAGACTATTTCATAGGGATATCAAATGTGGGTGAATGTGTTTCCTCTGGAAAAAGTTTTCAGGGTAGTGTGTGTGTGGAGGAATGTTTTCTCCCCCCACCCCCACTTCCCTCTGTCTCTACCGCCGCCACCTTTCTGGGCCTTCATGTCTTTATGCAGGCTCAGCTCCCACTGTGTTCTCCTTGCATATTTGAAAATAAAATAAATCTCACAAAGATGCACTAAGTCTTCTGTGTGTTCCCATCCAAAGAAAACTGAACTCGGTAGTGCTGTTCATGCACATCTTGACGGGTTTGGGTAGGTGATGTTATGACTTAGAAGAAAACGCATTTGCTGACAGCAGCCCTTTTTATTTCACACTGTGCCATTCCACCTGGCTTCTGAAGCTGAGCAAGTAATTTCTTACTGACTTTTAAAAGAAATCTCTATTTTCTAAAATATCATTGTACAGTCATTTCAAGCTGAATATTTTGCTACAGTTGTTAGGTGGTTGTCTTCAAAGGCAGGAACAGGACATTTTGGCAGGCTATATTCTTCATTTTAGAAGACTACCAGCCAGTAGAAATGGTCACATACCTGCCTCTTAAAGCTTGAAGATTCACCAGATGTTCACTCTGTGTCTAGATTCAAACACAGAAACAAAGCAAGTCAGAAGGGGCCTCTCAGGCCATCTAGTCTAACCCCAGGCTCCATCCAGCTCTGCTCATGATATGCCTACCACGTGCATGTCCAGCCTGTCCTTAAACACTCTTACCAATGGGGCTTTAACCATCCTCTTTCTTGATGGTTTCTTGAATCCTCAGTACGTTTTGTTTAAACAGTTTACCAAAATTCTAAATTTGCAAATAGCCTGTGTGTGTTTAAACTTTATTTATGTATTTATTTATTTTGCATATCATCTCCATATACAAGACAAGGAAGACATAATTGGAAACACGGCAGAACGCTGTGTTCACTCACCTTCCCTCATTGCCCACAGAAACAGCTCTTGCTTGCTGTCCTCTGGTCACTTCCTCTCTGACTGCCCAGGAAGCAGCTGGGGTTTTAGCCTCCCCGTCTCTCATCCATGATCCCTTTCAGCGGCCCGGTAAGGCCATTTTCCCACTGCACCCTTTCCTGCTGTGCTGCCCCTTTCTAGCTCTATGGACTCTTTAAAAACATGCATGGGTCATGGCTCTGCAATTCCAACAGAGATTTTTTTTCTTTATCAAGACCCAACATTTTGAGGCTGCGTTTCTGGTGTCGCAAGAGTAGCTCTAGTCAAGCTACAGTACTCTGAAGGTGGTTTAAAACAATATTCAGATAGAACTGGAGTAAGATGACATTTGAAAATTAAAGTTCTGGTAAACTACTGGGAATAATGGTTCATGTGGGAAATTCTCATGATTGCAATGAGATGAATAGAGGCTCAGCTTGCCACAGGCATATTTATAGGGGAAAGGACACGTAAGTAGCTACATTAATCTAGCAAGTATATTAGTACTGGGTAATTGGAAAGGCACTTCTACACTGGCAAGTCTTTTTGAATTACTGCATAGTCCTTACGCATGGCTCGTGTGTGTAACTGGACTGTATCTACTCTGCAGAACGTGTGTGGTTATCTCTAGCTTTTCACTGTGCTGTTCTTTGGGAGGCTGGATTTAGCAGAAACACAAACAGATCATTCATCCTCTTGCTGATGGTGTTCTTCTCAGCCCCTAGAAAGCTGGGGTTCCCCTCTTGACTTACAGATGCTATGCAGACCACAGCAAGCAACAATCTCAATGAGTATAAGGTTCTCTCCATACCCAGAAGTGTGTTCAGTGAGTGCGGGTGTGCCTGCAAGTGACCAAATGTGTGCTTTGCAGGGACTCTAGCACAGTCATGGTAGTAGCTAACATTTTGGAGCATGGTATGGTGGCATGAGCCATGACTGAAGTTCAAAGGCATCCATGTATCTTCCTTCAAAATTCACAGGTGCCCTGGAGCACCATGCTTTTTTTTAAAAATGCAGTTTTAGGACCCTTCACCTGGTGGAGCCAAACTATAGGAGTGCCTGGAGGCCAGGGCCTGCACTGTGTGAGAGGACCCGTTTGCAGAATCATCCACGCTCCTTCTTTTGTCTCCCGTTGTGCCAAAGAGGTTCAGTTCTTTCAGCATCTGCCCCATTGATCCAAAGATTTCTCATCCAGTAACATCTCCCTGCTCTGAGTGTCACCCACATCCTCCCACCCACCCCCAATGGATTTTCACTTTACCACATTCGAACGCTTGACTATCTGACTGGTGCTACAATTTCAGAAGTTGCCCAGAATATGTGGAAACGGCCATGAAATCTGGCAATATCCAGGCATCTGCAGCCAGCCTCAATTTCCGAACAGGTACAGTGCATAACAGTGTTCAGGGCCAGACAATATACTGGCCTGTGGTAAGCTGCCCCAACTTAGCAGCAGTGATCATAATATCATGGTTCGTGTCTACAGAAGCAGATATTTGCAGTCACTGCAGGCTGCAGAACTTTTCCAGTGCAATGGCACTGCAAGAACTATTGCTTGTTTTCATGGTCATCAGTGAGGGCTTTTAGACCCATTATTGATGCTTCTGCAGGGGAGGGGTGCCAGCAGCCAGATATCAAGATAATTTGGATGCAGAGAAAGGAATTCAAGAAGGTGAAGTGGAGGCAGAAGCATGGCAACCCAGCCATTGTGACTGAGTGAGTCAGTAGGCGCTGACTGAGTGCAGCCAGTGAGGCAATGTGTGGGGAGCATGGCTGAATGGGTTACAGGGACACTAAATGTGGATCCAGAGGGATGGTCACAGTAGTGCTACTACTGCTGAAATTAGGTGGCAGGGAAAGAGGGATGCTCCAACCTGCGCAGCCAGTGGGCTTCAGCAAGGGGGTCTTGGGTCATGGACCAAGTATTGTGCTCATTTTGCTGCACATACCACTTCTCAAGAAGTTAAATTGGATTTTCCCAACACTTCATTGTCCATCAGTAAAAACAAGGCTACTTGGACTTTCAGTCCGCCCATAGTGACTTTTTTCCTCTTTTGTCCATATTCAGAAATGGTAAACATAATCACTAGAAATGCTCTGTCTCATTCCTTTGCCCAGGTTTAACACACCACCTGAAACACTTCAAAGCTATTGTTTATGCTGGCTTGCCCAGACCAAAATCCTTGTGGATAGTTGCCTGGGCTCTACGGAGGGGTCTTTGTTCAGTCAGAAGGTGATACAGATGACTTCTAAACTTCCCTCAACCATGCTGCAAATTGAACAACATTGAAGGAGAAGGCTAAAGGCCTTTCTGTCCTACGTTTGCCAAGTTGAAAAAGAACTATAGATCGTTTCTAGCCACCCAAATGTATTCTATGCATGCTTCATTCATCAAGTTACTTTCCCAATAGCTGTAGTGTTTGTTTTGGATAAAAAAGATTTTGTTTCTTGTGTTAAACATCTTTGTATTCATTTAATGTTATTGTTATAACATGGCTTAAAGAGTCTTTCTCCATTTAATATCTGTGCAATTTTCTTGGATTATAACCTGCGGTTTTATTTAAGGTTGTAAGTTTTCTCTGGATGTACAGCTCTGTTTCTCCATTTAATATCTGTTTCTCCTCTATTTAATATCTGTGCAATTTTCTTGGATTATAATCTGTGGTTTTATTTAAGATTGTAAGTTTTCTCTGGATGTACAGCACTGTTTTCCTATGATGTGCGTAATAGTGTGAAGTTATTGTTGCTAAGATACAAATATTGCAAAAACTGAAATGCTTTCCTTTTTATTTTCCAGGTATATAATTCAAACAAAGACAACCAAACTGAAGGCAGTAAGTAGTTCTAATTATATTTCATGCAGGTCTATGTATTATTGAAAAAATTGTTTGTAGAACTGTGTCTCTGACTCTCAGAAGCCAGCAGGTGGTGCTCCAAGTAATCAACTTCTCCTTAAGTCAACTTACTACATTCCTTTTGTCATCAGCCTGATTTCTGGCAATCATGCATGTTGGTACTTCAAAGATCTGAGCACTGAGCAGTTTTCATAGTAATGCTAGATCAGGTAGTAAGTGATAAAAAGTATTTTGTGACTTGTATAGTGAAATACTTAAATAGTGAACAAAAGGGCTTTATGGTTTAAGATGCTTGAGGTACTTCAAGTGCACATCCTGGATGACGCTCAAGAGCTGCAGAGTTCTGAAACTGGCTCTGTCGCAAATTCTTTGTTTCCTTTGGCAAGTTACTTAACAGGCTTTTGTCTCAGTTTACACAACCCAGGCACAGAGGTTTACAGAAGGGAAGCAAGAAAGGGAACTAAGATTTTTCTGAATCTCAGTTCCTTGTTTTACTTTCCTTAAATTATGATTAATAGAAATGAAGTATTCTGTGCTAAAAAGAGCTTGCTCAAAGGCTGCCCCCTGGACTGTTTTCAAGTGGATGAACTCTTGGGAAGAAAGAGTCTTTGTACATGAAGTAGCACAATTTAAATATTTTCCTCCTTTAATCCAAGCGTTAGACAAAGCACCGGACAGCCAGAACCTCTTCCCACTGCTGTTTAAAATCCAATCTGTTTCTAAGCAGCTAAGCAGCTTCTGAATGTCTGAGTGGTTCAACTACCTTCCTGCCCCCACTCACACTCTGCTGTGACACTGCAGCAATTTGTTTGGCAATCCCACCCGAAAACTACGGATTTGTGCACTTTCCCCCTTAAGTATGTATGTGTTCAACTTTGGAATATCAATTAGTGACCTTCTTTTTAAACATGCAAGCTTAGAAAATGTGGACCAAGTGTCAAAAGCAGGGACTCCTGTTGCCTTTTTATTTAATGTTTGAAAAGGCTTGCAGCACTTAGTCACAGCCCTTGTGAGAGCATCATCCATTTTCTTGCTGAGGGATTCTGTCTAGTGGTGTGTCTTTATAAATAGCATGTTGCCCCTAATAAATTTGAGAAGCAGCATAGCTCCTTCAGCTGTTAGGTCACTCTGGCTGACAGAACACTCTACAGTAGCTCAGCTCCTTTTCCTATCCGCTATTGATAAATGGCACACAATTTTAAACACATACTTTCCTCCTTTAGATCTTATCTTCTCCTCAGCACAAGATTTACATACCTGTCATCTCTTTAATAAAACCAGTGAGCAATACAAGAAGGTGCAATTAGAGGCAATTACAAGATTCTGTCAACTTCACTCTTCCCTTTTTTCTTGTGATAGATACGCTGCCACTATGTTGACTGAGTATGTTGAATTAGACACGATAGAGCAATTTGATATGAAACAAACTGTTTTTAACAATATAAATACATGTCACAGTTACCTCAGGTCACTTTTTGCTTTGTTTTCAGATGTCTTCATTGTTTGACGGCTTTGAAATACCATACTTAGTGCTAGTTCAGCTCATTTCCATAAGTATGCCTGAATCATAAAAAATCCAGTAAGAAGGGAACAGTAGAAAGCTTGCCTAGTGACTTACATTTGCAGCTCTGCCATGATTTTTTTTTATTCAGTAAGAGGAGAAGCAACCGTAAATGATGCTTTCTATTGTTCTAGTTGGTAGACTGGTGAATTACAAAATTAAAAATATTCATGAGAGAATCTAATTTATGATAATTCATGAATTTATATTGTTAAACTGGCTGAAAAGAGTGGGGTAGCCCTTCCCTGCCTTCTTCTGACCCCTTCCTTTGTATTGCAAGAGATATACACATTTCCAAATCTCAAATCGACGTATTCTCTGCTTCGTTCCCTATGTTGCTAATGAAATGCTCAACAAATTCTGATGTGCACAGTTTGAGTCAAGCAGTAGTTCTAGATAAAGAAGGTATCCTCAATCCCTAATCCCTCTCCTAAGATATCCCTGCACCAATAACGCACACTCTATGCAGAATGATGCACAATGAGTTGCATCCATGAGGCTATGAAATCCTGGAGCAAAGAAAAAACTAAATGTTTGAGCTGTGTATTATTATTCTACTTATTTGCGTATAAGGGTGCATGGCCCTGATTCAGGTTGGGAGCATGGCAATTTAAGAGGAGAAATTTAAGTTTTGCTTCTTCTTACATTGGCACTGAAATTCCACATCCGCTTAGGGGGACAGGTTTTAAAACACATACATATACCTCCACTGGAAGCTTAAATTCCCTCTTCCCTGCAGTCCCAGTGCTGCAGTGGAACCACCATATTTTATATCTTTGGAATAGTGTTTCTGTAAGTTTGTGTTTGAGAGTATCATGTTTCAGTCTCCCAGTTGTTTTAGTTGTAAGATATCATAAAATAACTAATACAATGCTTTTAAAAACTGTATAGCAGTAAATACAAATGGGAAATGATTTGTCCAATTAGCGGGTTTGGCACAGGCAAGTTATAGTGCTAAGGTAAGTCATAAACATAGAGATGCTTGTAAAATGTTGATCAGAGTGGTGTGAAAACCAATAGATCAGTTTAGCAACTTCGCTATTAATTTGTTTCTTGTCACAGTTAATGTTAAATAGTATTTCTCTGTTTCAATATCGCCAGGAAGTAGACTGTTTGCTTAGTTCCTTTCAGTACAAAGCTATTCATTTATTGAGATGACCTATCCCTTGCCTATGCTGTATCACATTTGTTATCATCAAACAGTCTTAGGGAAGGAGAGCAGAAGTGGATCTGATTATAGTCTGCATTAAAAGAAACCTAGATAAGGGCAGGGCATTCCAAACGCCCAGATTTAGCTTGCTAGAGCAGGTTAGGAATAGGAGAAGGCCTGTCTACTGGCAGGAGAAGCTTTGCTGCTTCAGGGTGCACTGAGGTGCCTGAGAACAACTCAGCAGGTGTGATGTTACCGCTGCTGAGCATCCAGCCAGAGGTAACTGAAATGGGAGGTTCCTGAGAGCAGAAACAGCCTTAAACCCCACAGATCCAAGCAGGTCAACTTCCTTCATTTTTGTATAGGTGGTGGGGTTTTACTTTGTTTCTCAGGATGGTCTAATAAAATGCTAACAAAGCATTTTAGAAAGGGAAATTTGGCTGCACTTGAGAACCTGAGCACGGTTCATAGCATTTTGGAGTCAATGCTTGGTCATCTGTTTTAAACATTTCAAGTGGGTCGAAATAAAGGCAGTCCTTTTTATAGCACTGAAGATGGTACTTTATGGCTACCTTTTAGGGAATCATTGTTGGAATGTGTGGCATTAACTCAACTGTAAAAGAATGAGCATCACTTGACATGCCAAGATACCCTGAAAGGAAGCCACACTGGGTTGCTTATTTTGAAACACCTGATAGATGACTGAGCTCTTCATGGATTGTTCTCTTCTTCCTTCCCTCTCAGGCAGCTGGAAACCCAGTACCTTTCATGGTAAAACTCATCTTGCCTTCTGTTCTCTGCTCTGATGACTTTCCCTTTGTGTTTACCATGTGTGTATGTTTTCAGAGTCTCAGAAATGCACTGGTGGAGTTGTATATTTCTGTAAAAAAATCATCTCCAGAAATGTGCACAAGTATCTTTGCATCTAAAAATATACTTTAATAAAAGAAAAAATCCCCTCCATTTACTTCAGAGCCATGAAATCTGTGTACATTTTTCCTCCATTTACTTCCGAACTATGAAATCTATGTATATTTTACCCTCCATTTACTTTCCAGTTGTGGCCTTCATATATTTTCTGGCTTTAAAAAAGTTCAAATTTGACAGTTTAAAAAAAGAAAAAACCCTTAAAGGTGACAGAACAGGATAGAGCAAATGGAGTACTGGCTGCAGAGGGACTTCTCCCTTGGCCACCTGCACGTACTCCCATTCACTCTGCCCCATTCAGCAACCTTCTCAGGCTGGTTTTTCTTTTAAAGAACTGACAGGAAGTGCAATAACAGCAGCAGGAAGTACTCTAAAAACAAGGTGCTAAAGTGGGCATGGTGTTAATATTTCCCCACTCTGGAGTAACTGGAAACCTAGGGAAGTGTTGAAAATGTGGAGGGTATTGAGAGCGGTCAGTTCCACACTTGAAATCCAGAGTATTGCATGACTCAGGAAGGTAATCTTTCTTACTCCCACTTTTTGGTGCACCTGCTTTTTGCCCTTTTACCAGTGCTTTGCAATGGACAGTTCTAGAACTGTGTGTAAATTAGTCCATGTGCAGTCTTACCTTGCCAATTTTAGTCTGTGTTATGGCCTGCACTTGTTGGTGCCTGTTTAGCAGCTTTGCATAGAAAGATAGGTAATGAGAGCATCTTTAACTGCCTAGGTTACTGAAGGAGCCTATAGTGGAGGTCCCTGGTACAATGGGGAAGGCTCCTCTTTGCAGCATTGCACCTAAAGATCCTAAAGCACGTGAGGAGAGTTGTGCTAGTTCAGACTCAAGCCTTGCCTAGTGCACCTTTCCGTTTCCAGAGTGGCCAAGCAACTTCCTGTGGGATCCCACCAGTAGTGCATGAGGGCAATAGCACCTTACTACTCAAGTTTCCCAGCAACAGGAGTACAGAGGCATAGTGTACTGATACTTGGCAAAGGAGTCAGTGCATAGCCATGATAACTAATAGCCATCGACTGCCTTATTCTTGTGAAAGAGTGCTTCGGGATATGAAAACTTGCAAGAACGTTGACTAGCAATTTTCCTTAGCTACAGTCACCATGTGGGCAGAAAAACCTTATGGAATTTCCTGAATCTTCGTGGTAGGGTTCCTGTTGAAAATAAGAGATCCAGAAAGCACATTTTAAAAAACAAATAAAGGCTTTTTGAACAGAATTAGGCCCACGATTTTGAAAAGCATTGATCTTCTAAAAGACATATTAGTCTGATCACTCTTATTAGCCACTGGCTGTTAATTCTGGATTTGTTCCAGCTGCAATAATGAGATGTCAGCTCCTATTTTTTTCTCCCTGGTCTTCTAAGGTCTGTTTCCCCCTTTGTAATTCATCTTTCTGTGGACTAAAATAATCACAGATGCTCTCTTTGAAACTACTCTGCTTCCCTTTCTGATTTTCTGAAAGTTGTTGTCCTAATGAATCTGCGAGTGGATTTATGAAATTTGGTGTCTGAGCCCCGCCCCTCAGATTTTGGACCTCAGCTCCTCATTTGTTTACATAGCGGAGCTGCTGTGTCTGTTGCTAACCAAAAGCAACAAGGAAGTAACTTGTGAAGAGTGTAGTTTATCCCATGATTTCGAACTGAGGTGAGGTGGTAAGTTCAGATTTTCATCCGTGTATTAAGATACGGATAAAGCAATTCAGATTACATCTGGAAGTCAACTGTGAATCAGCCATTCAGATTGTGATGTGAGCTGGAGGGTCCATTCACATGTCCATTAAGATAACACACTCATAGCTGAACCATCTTTTTAAACCCGGCATATGCTTACCAGCTGTAGGATTTGCAGCAGTGAGAAGGATAGAGTGCCAGCTATGTGTCTGGTATCCCTGCAAACAAGTCAATAGACCCAATATATTTGCACAACACATGTCACATAGCAATTTATTTTTACAGGAGTCTCTCTGTCTGTTTATATTCATCCACAGTCAATATATTGTGTTTATGTCTGCTATTATATGTGATTTATTACTTCAGCCTTTCTGAACCTATCTCAATTGTCTAGGTACTTAGGACAGATATGTCAACAATGGGCTTCAAAGCAGTAGACTCCTAGAATCTGATTTCCTGTGTATGCCAGTTGCAAGGAAACTTGAGTGGAAGTGTGCTGTTGTGCTCATGTCACACTGGTGGATTTTCCATGGGCAGCTGATTGGCCAGTATGTGAAAAGAACATTGGATTAAATAGGCTTTTGGTCTGATTCAGCACAGCTTTTGGTTTATTCTTAAAATGGAATTCCAGAATTGCCTGTAGATAGTTTAGTTCCATAGCTAACAGCAACAATTTCTAACGCACCCCATATCAATTGATTTCAGGGTGAAAAACAGCAATAGGAATCAGTCAATATATCTGTTATCTTAATGAACAGTCCACAGGAATACCTTAAAAACAGTAAAAAAGACCTCAAAGTTTGGGTAAATGGCCAGGTGTTACTGTGGTCCTGAAAAGTGACCTATGTTAGCACCTTCTGCACCTCTGAGTAGAGGACATTCCATAGCACCCTCTCTGGTCTCTCCAAGCACAGCTTTCTTTGAAATTACTCTGATTTCTTTTCTGATTCTCTGAAGGATTCTCTAAAGCCCTTTGGTGAGCCTGAAAGGAGAGCCCCCTCAGCAGATATCAGTGCTTGGGCTGGTAAATATTGGAAGAGGCTTTCCTTCAAATATTTAAGCTGAAAGACTTTCAGAGTTCTATATGCCATCACTAACACCTTAAACACAGATTGGAAATATACCAGCAGTCTCTACAGTTCTTTTAAAACTGCTGTTATATGATTTCTGTCAGTTTCCCTCCACAGTAATCAAGCTGCCATGTTCTGCTGAAGCATCTCTCTTGACCTCAGGGACAGCCTCATGTGGAGTACACTTCAGTAATCTGGACAGGAAAATATATATGTACACCAGGAGTATTCATAGTTTGCAGGCCGACCAAAGCTGGCCAAAAGCATTCTGAAATCCCACCACTCTGTTATTTAACCTAAATAACATAAAGGTGTGAGTGGATAAGAACGCAAGAAGAGTCATGCTGATGAGACCAAGGGTCTGTCTGGTCTCGCAATCTGTTCACATACTGGCTAACCAGCTGCCTGTGGGATCGAGTGTAGGATTGGAACCTCCTTCTCATGCTCCTTAGCAGCTGGTGTATGTGGACATTGATTGAATGATTGATTGATTGATTGATTTATGAGACTTCTATGCCACCCCATTCGCTGAAACCTCGGGGCGGCTCACAACCATAAATAAACTTCAAAATAGAATAATATAAATTAACAATATAAGTTAAGTCACCCTGGCCAAAGAATAAAATGAATAAATAATATTAACAATTAAAATAACATTTGAATAAAAAGGTCTTCGCCTGGCGCCGAAAAACAAATAACAACGGCGCCAGGCAGACCTCTCTGGGGAGCGCATTCCATAACAGGCGCCACCACAGAGAAGGCCCTCCTCCGAGTACTCACCCTCCTAATTTCCTTCACGGAGGGTTCCCGGAGAAGGGCCTCTCCCACAGATCTCAAGGGGCGGGCGGGCAGGCATATATGGACGCAAGCGCTCCTTCAGGTAACCAGGACCTAAGCAGTTAAGGGCTTTATAGGTCATCACCAACACCTTGAATTGGGTCCAGACTTCAATGGGAAGCCAGTGAAGCTGACGGAGGACTGGAGTCATGTGAACATAACGCCCAGTCCCCATCAGCAGACTGGCAGCTCTATTTTGAACCAATTGAAGTATCTGGACCATCATTTATTTATTTATTTATTTATTTATTTATTTAAACATTTCTATGCCGCCCCTTGCCGAAGCCTCGGGGCGGCTCACAGCACAAATAAGATACAATAAAATACAGAAATAACAATATAAAATTAACAATATAAAATAAATAACAATATAAAAGAAGTCGCCCTGGCCAGAGGGTAGCCCCACGTGGAGTGTGTTACAGAAGTCAAGTTGGGAAGTCACCAATGCGTGTGTCACTGTCACCAGACAGTCGTACTCCAGGTAGGGGCGCAGCTGATGGATCAGCCAACAGGGACGTACTCCCCCTGTCCTTCTCCCTGCACAGGTCATCGTACAGGGCGACCAAGGCAGATTCAGTACTGTACCTGGGTCTGAAGCCAGACTGAAATGGGTCCAGATAATCAGTTTCATCCAAGAGTGCTTGGAGTTGTCCCGCCACCACCCGTTCCAACACCTTGCCCAGAAACGGGATGTTGGCTACTGGTCTATAATTAGTGGCCATCTCAGGATCCAGTGACGCTTTCTTCAGGACCGGTCGGACTACCGCCTCCTTTAAAGGGGCAGGTACCCGACCCTCCCTCAGAGAAGCATTAACCACTTCCAAGATCCAGATCCCAATCCCGTGCTTGGCGTCGTTTATTAACCAAGATGGGCAAGGGTCCAATAGGCAAGTGGTGGGACGTACTCGTCCAATCACCTTGTCCACATCATCAGGCCACAATAACTGAAATGCATCCATTAATTTTGGACCAGATTGCGACATTGGTATCTCCCCAGAAGCCTCTGAATCACTAGTGGAGTCTAGCTCGTGATGAATCTGAGCGATTTTCTCCCTGAAATGCTTGGCAAAGTCGTCACAGCGGGCCTTTGATGGTGGAACCAGTTCTTTCTTAGGGCCAGGGCGGACCAGGCCTTGTACCACTTGAAAAAGCTCCGCTGGATGGCATTTTGAGGAGGCAATGGAAACGGAGAAGAATTTCTTTTTCGCCGCTCGCACCACCACAGCATAGGCCCAATAATGGGCTCTTTAAGTGTG